CCCACACTCTCCCCCTCACTCTGGGGGCCTCTGGCTCCTGCTCTTCCTTCTTCCTCCGGATCTATTCTGCTTCAAGTTCATTACTCCATGAGATCTGCCAGGATTTGCTTATTCCCTCCTGCCTGCCTCCCACCCCACGGCCATCACCTGAGTTTGCTCATATCACTCTTATTTTTCCCCAAGCTCTTGCTACCTCCAACATGCTGCCTGTTTCCTCTGCTAAAACTCTGAGCCCCCAGTGATGGGGAGTCGTGTCTGTTTTGTTGACTAATAAAGCCTGAGAGCCTTGGGAATGGGTCTAGTTACTAGATTCCCATATGTAGTAGGAGCTTATACAGATTTGCTGAATGAATGCAGAGGCCCTGGTCCAATCCGATGGAGCACTTCTGTGTCCTGCTCAAAGAATAACTCTCCTTTCCTCCTGAGAGGGGTGACCACTTTCTTGGTGATCAAAGGCAAGATCTTTTTGCTTTATGCTGTTAACCTTAGGCGGGAAGACTGGGGGATCTTCATATATATTTTAAAATTTGATTCACTCTGCAGTTTGTCCTCGGTCTATGTATCCTTTTGAGAAACCGTTTATAACTGATCATTCTTCCATCAGATTGAACAGGGTCCAGGGGGGAGGACCAAGCCTGTCCCATCGGCCATCCTGTGTGTCATGTCCTGTGACCCAGTGGATGCTCAGCACATAAGTGAACAGACAGGAGTGAGTGAAGAGATGGGAGCATCTCCTTATTGTGGTGGCTGCTCTCTGTCCGATGCCTTGATATTTGGGGTAGGGCTTACAAGTGCGGAGGGGTGAGGACAGGGCCTCTGTGCTCTTCCTGAGTGCCCTGGCCTTACCCATTCCCCAGCCCCCTCTGGGCAGCCAAGCCCAGGAGCTGGGCCACCGGCGGTTGTGCTGATCAATAATCCACCTTCACCCCAAGTCCGGGGGTAGGAGCGGCCAGCACACGTTGTTGTAGACTCTGGAGTCAGGCCCTTGGAGGAATTCCTCACTGAACGATGTTTTGGACCTTTTATTTTTCTCTATAGCCTCCAGCTGAAGAAGCAGATTGCCTTAGATACATGAAAGGTGAGGACGCCTACTGTCCCCATGGAGCCCAGGTGGGGCTGGGAGTCTGCTGTTTGTACAGCCGGTGGGCTCGTATTGCTTTGGGTATCCCTGTGCCTGAATTCCTGCAGTACACTCGGTGGTAAGGATGGGGGTGCCTGGCAGGGAGGTAAGCGGGTCGGGAGACTGCACAGCTGGGGAGACGTTAACCTGCGGTGAGTGGGAGCCGGCTGATGCATGGCATCTCGGTGCAGGGAACTCTCCACACTCAGATGGGTTCCCACTCCTGCAGAGGCCCTTTGATCAGGGTGCTGGGCTGTCAGCACAGCAGGGTCCCTGTGAGGATAATGGTGCCTTCAGGCAGTGGGAAGTGAGGGGTCCAGCGGCACTTAAATTAACTGTGCACCCGAAGCCAGCCCTTGTCTCTTTCAGCCTGTTTCCTAATCTGGAAAACTGGAATGATGTTAACCATCCCACGGGGTCGTTGATGGGCTGGGACACACTAGACACTCAGGAGCTTGAATTGCTCTGTCCCTTGATTGTTTTCCTTCCTTCCCACTATCTGCTCTCACAAGCTCAGTCTCTCTGTCTCTCTCTCTTATTCACTTGTAACTTTCTCTCCTGCTCTCATTTCATTTGATTCCCACCCTCCTCCCAATCCCCAGATGAGTGAACTTGATTTCTGTGTGTCAGTTCCAAATTCCCAGGAAAGATGTTCTGTCCCCTCTGGATTGGTTGTCCAACCCATCAGTTGCAGCCAGAGGATACAGTCCCTCTGGGACCAGCGGAGGGGCTCTGCCCAGCCCCCCAGCCACCACTGTGGGAGCACATAGCTCTCCGAGGAGGAGGTACTGGCTGTGACTTGGTGTCACTAAGTGTGAATTTATGTCTTCTCTTGAACCACCTTCATCCTCCTAAACAAAGATGAAAATTAAACACTCCCGGGATTTGTGTCATGGAACACTCAGGGTGGGGGCTAATGGGGCTGGAATTCCCTGCTGCGTTTTAGGGGCTACAGTGACTCCCCAACGAGAGCCTGAAAAGGGAACAGCACCGGCCCCACCCGGCACTTAGGGCACTGAGTCTGTGTGACATTGAGCCAGGCTTCTGACCACAGCTCAGGGGTCTGGTCTGACCAATTAGCCTTTGAAACCAACCAGCTTTGGATTCCTCAATCCCTCCCTGAGGTTTTACCTGAAACACCAGCTTCTGTATCTCTGAAGACAGATGATGAGGACCCTTCACGTAAGGCATTTGCACAACCCTGTGCGGGAATTTGTGCTGCACGGTCTGCCCGGCGAGCTGACCGAAGTTGGTATTTTACTGATCTTAGAAATAGTCTGGTTTCCTGATGCACTATTTCACTGAACAAGCAACAGAAGCCACCTCTGGCTGATAAAAGCAATAAAGGGACTTAATGAAAAGGTACTGGGAGGGTGCGTGGAGTGGCCCGGACCAGAGCCGACCCGGGGGCCGTGGGAGGTGTTGGGGAGCCCCAGGCACCAGGCTGGGCAGGGCGCTACCGGGCCCCCTGCTGCCCCAGCAAGGACCCCCCTTCTCCTGACCCTCCACCTCACTGTAGGCTCAAGTCCCGGCAGGGCCAGGTCACAATGAAGCCACCGGCACACACCTCAGTGGGGGAGTTGGCCCCGTCTCAGCTGAGGGCGTGCCTGGTGTGGGGAGACGCCCAGTTAGAGGAAGGCGGTTCCCCTACTGCTCTGAGTTAACATGCAAATCAGTGCCCGTCACTCAGGAGAGCCAGGCTGCTCGGACCTCATTGTGGTGACTAGGCCTTCTGAGTTCACTTATTACTTTTTATGTTGGAAGTCCCTGGAGGGAGCAAAAGTGGAGGTTCTAGTACTTATTTTATATTTCCCACGTACCAGGTGCGGTAAGCAAGCCACTTCAGACAAGGCCTAGAGCAACCACGTTAATAGGCCACAGAGCAAGTCATGCAGTCAGGCTTCTGTGGCCCCGAAACCCGTGTCCCCATCAGCTCCGTAGTTACCAGTGGAAGTTGTAGGGATTTATGGGGCTGTGTGCTCCTGTGGGGGCTGGGATGCGTGTGTTAAAATCCACATCTTCAGAAACTCGGCTAGAACCACAGCCACTGATTGTCTGCATGGAGGCAGAGGAGGGGAGACTTGCAGCCTCTGGTCCAGCTTGTGAGGAGCTCAGAAGTTGCTCCTTCTGTCCTGAAAACAACACCAGAGCTGAGGGAGCTGCAAACCCACTGCTCTTCTTAGATCCACCAGAAAACTGAGGGGGAAAGCTGCTCCCAACCCAGAGAGGCAGCCGGGCAGGCTTGAAGAGTCACAGCTCCCAGGGAAGGACCCGCTTTTGTAAGAACCCCGGGGGCAGGCAGATTTAACAGGTCCCTGAGGCCAGCGGGAGGCTCAGCGTGGGGAAGTCTGAGTGTGACAACTCCAGGGGGCCAGTCAGAGGGGCCCCCTGCTCTTTTTCATGCATGTTACCTCCAGGACCATGCCCTGTTCTCAGAGTGAAGATCAGAGAAAACCCCTCATGCTTCCTGCCAGGAAAGGAGAAAATAGCTCTATTGAAATACACCCAGAACATTCGTTCCATTGTGGGGGGTTGTGTTTGTTTTGTTTTTTTTATTGAGAAATTATTTTACCAGAGCCTAACCAACCTGGGGGAAGGGAAATACCTTCTGTGTCACCCAAATTGGGATGGGGGAAAGAGACACACTTGTGGAGGTCACAGCTCAGGGTACAGTTTCAATGAGAACTAATCACAGAACTACAGATGCCCTGCTCTGTCCCGCTCCCCCAACCCCTTACCTCCATGACAGTAGGGCCCCTGTGTAATAACAGGAATAAAACTAAAAGAAGTAAATGTCTCAGCAGTGCTAGGGAAATCCCAAAGACAGCGGGGAGATGAAAACAAGGACACACATGTGGCTTTAGCCTCTCACACCAATAGCTGTAGCAAACTGCACACAGCCCAGCCCCAGTAGATAAACAGACAACCTCACAGAAGAAATTATTTATTTTGGTTCTCTTACCCAGTGCATTCCATGGTGCATCCTCACCTAGAATTGAGTGGAATCAAGTCCATCTCAGAAGGGACATAACTGAAGAGGGATGGCTTCCCAGACTCTGAAGGGCAGAGGGAACAACAGCCTGGGTGAGAGCATGGTGAGGGGTGGGGTAGGGGGTGGGCTGCCTTCTTCCCCTAATAAGGAACCTTCCTAAGGCCAGCACAGTGGGAGGGAGGGCCATGGGGTGGAAGCAGCCCGACTTCTTTCTGAGAACTGATGGGATGCCTCCAAGGGACCATTCAGTTGCCCAGACTGGGCCCTGAGGGTGGGAGCCAGTCGGACTGCCTCAGAGCCCAGGACTGAGGTGGGCGCACAGCAGGCAGCTCTTACTTGGCCGGATCCATTTCACCTCTCCGAAGCCCTGTGTAAAACATGAAGCGTGGATGGCCTGGTGAGAACAGCTCTGCCCTCAAGACCGGTTTCAACTCCTCTCTTCCTGGAAAACAGCATCTCGGAGCCCATCCTGGGTGACCACACAGAGATCACCCTAGTGGCCCAGGCTAGTGACCGGGAACATGTACCTTCCTGCAGCCAACCCCAGACGTCCACTGATTCATCATATACTGGCAAAGATGTGAGTCCCTGTGCCTTGGTCTAACAGCAGAGACTCTGCCACAGGCCCAAGAGGTGGTGTGTGGGAAATGCAGGGGTGCAGGAGTGTAGGCTGTGCAAGGGTGTAAGTGGTGGCAGGGGTGCAGGGGCTGTGGAGGGTGCAGGGAGTTCAGGGGATGCGGGGGTGCAGGCAGTTCAGAGGTGCAGAAGTGCAGGGAGTGCAGAAATGCAGAGTGGCAGGGGTGCAGAGGTACAGGGAGTGTAGGGGTGCAGGTAGGTGCTCAGGTACGTGGCCAGGATCAGAAGGCAAGTGCACATCCTCGCAGTCAGCCTGACCCTTGGAGGCTAGTGCAATCGTTTGGGGCGGAGGCTGCGGAGGCGACGGCGGCTGCGGGTGGGAGGCTTCCCGGGCAAGCCGGTTGATTTCTTCTCTTCCCTGCAGCCTGGCCTGGGGGGTCCTTGGCCGCCGGAAATTCACCAGATGTTGGACTCCAGGTAAGGTTGCTCCTGGGAGGTGGGGCGGTTAGGTCAGGGGGCGGCGGCAGCGGCAGAGGGGCGGAGTGGGGCTGCCCCTGGCGAACTGGTGGAATAGCTGCCTTCTCCAGGCTACTGGGCCTGGGAGCGGCCTCTGCTGTCCCTAGCTTGCTCCTGGGAGGCGGCGGCGGCGGCGGCGGCGGGGGAGGGGGGCCGTTCCAGGGAGCTACTCCATTTCTTCTCTTCCCTGTGGCCTGGCCTGGGGGCCGCCTCTGTGTCCGGAGATTTGCCTGAGGTCCGACTCCTGGTGAACTTGCTCCTGGGAGATGGGTGCGTTGAGGTCAGGGGGCTGGTTAGTTGGTGGCTGCGGGGATAGGGAGGCTGCCTTGGAGGAACTTGTGGATTAGCTCCCATGTCTGCACTGCGTGGCCTGCAGGCGGCCTCTGCTGTGCCAGGTCCCGGGACACCTCTGTCCCACTTTGCCTGCTGGGGGCAGGAGGCAGGGTAGTCAGGGTGCAGGGGTGGCAGGGGTCGGGGGCCTGCAGCGGGAGAGCTGGCCCATTTGCTCCCATCTTCCCCGCAGCTTGTCCAGGGGGTGGTCTTTGTTGTCCTGGGTTACGGGACACCTGTATCCTAGTCAGCCTGACCCCGGGAGGCTGG